ACTTGCTAAGCGACGCAGCTAACTAGGGGGAGAAGGCTATGACTGTAGCACCAACAAAGACAAAACAAAAACAAAACCCCCAAGGGTAGCCAAGAGTGAAAAGGGAAACCGCTTAGATCAGAGTTTTTCAAGTTCCAGACAGCTGCAGGACTACCCACACCCTAATTTCAAATTTGGCAGACGTTCTTATTAGACTCAAAAACTGAATTGAATGCAACAGTAAACTATGGATTAACATTATGAGGATGAGACACACACACACCGACCGGCTTGTGTGCACTTCCCGCTCCTTCTCCTCCAGCGTGGTCATAAGGAGGAGAACAGAAGCTTCTGATCTGATATGTGGACTAAAGAACATGGGAAGCTTGGGGAGCAGGGAGCCTAGGCTCTTCAAATGTGCTAAAATACAGTTTAGCTTTACATCTCAACCAGCTCAAAGAGGACCAGTCAGTTTGCAAATGGGTAAGAGTAAGAATTACTGACACACACACACCCCGGGCATGCCTTCTGATGAAGGGAAGAGGCAAACCCCTGAAGACTAAATCACGCACAGAAGGCAGATCCCTGTGTGACATCACAGCATCAGCCCTGATTCAATCCCACATACAGATGTGGCAGAATGACTTAGCCACAGCAAAGGCCCTTTGAATAGGGACATATTTTCCTACCATGAGTTGGTATGATGGACACCTGAGGGTGGCATGGGTAGCCAGGTGGTATGTTGGGTTTCAGATAGCACCAAGCATGAAGGTGAAAGACTTATGGGAGAAGATTTATAATGAATTGAAATATACATTTATTAAGAAACCAGAGGCCTTCCTTCTTGGAATAATAGGTCCGGAATTGCCCAAGAAAGATGTTAGATTGTTTTTGTATGCCACAACTGCTGCAAGGATTTTGGTAGCCAAGAACTGGAAAACACAAGAAGTGCCAACAGTGGAGGAATGGCAGATGAAGGTGATGGACTTTGGGGAGCTAGCCGACTTGACCGGAAGAGTCCGCGACCAGAAGGAGGAGGAGTATCAAGAAGAATGGATGAAATTTAAAGAATATTTAGTTAAATAGGAAAGATAATTTAAATAGAAATACTTGCAAATACCAGATTGGGTTAGGATTTAAATATGTGATTTTATATAATAATATGTTTAAAATTTATATGAAAAGTAAGAAAGAAGTTAGCTGACTAAGTAAATTTTATGAGAAATTAGTCTTGGAAAACTGTTACAATGATATACATTGAAATTCAGCCGGGGGGGGGGTTGAGGAAGTCACCTAACAATGTTAATAATAGTGGGATAATTACAGTCAGGATTTATGTGTGTTTCTTTGTTTATAAATTTGGAAAATCAATAAAAAATTTGAAAAAACAAAACAAAACAGATAGCACCAAGCATGGTCTGGAGCTCAAGCAGGGACTTTTCCCCATCTCTTGGGCCAACTAATCCTCTCAGGCTCCACCCACTTTCTGAAAAGTGAAGAGCCTTAAAGGTCCATGAGCCTAGCACTCTGTCAACAAGGACCCACACGCCCCATATGAACTGATCCAGACTCTGCAATCATCATCTGAAGCCCTACTCCACATGAGGTCCAAAGGGTGGTGACGTGAGAATGGGCCTTTTCAATGGTGGCTCCCCATTTGTGGAATACCTTACCCAGGGAGGCTTGCCTGGCACCATCATTACGTATCTTTAGGCACCAGACAAAAACATTCTTTTTTTGCCAGGCTTTTGGCTTTTAAAGATCTGTGGTCTCCTATACTGGGTGGGAAGTTTTAATCTCCCTCTTAAAAATATGGATGTGTTTTAGATTTTTCTATGCTTTATTTTATTATGGGTTTAATGTATATTATTTATTTAATGTTAGAAGTTTGCTTTGGGTTGCATAGTACCTACAGGACCGCCTCTCCTTGTATGCCCTGCGGAGGACCTTAAGGTCTATACCGTATTTTTCGGACTATTGGACGCACCGGTCCATAGGACGCACCTAGATTTGGGGGGGGGGAAATAAAGGCAAAAAAAAATTATTCCCCCCCCCCCGCCAGGCACGGGGCTGGGGCGGGGAAGCCCGAGCTTCCCCCTCCCCCAGAACGGGACCCAGAGCCATGCCGAAGCTGCGCGCAGCTTTGGCATCGCTCTGGGAGCTTGCGGGGCTGGGGGAGGAGGAAGCCTTCCGCCAGCCTCCAAACCATGTCGGGAGACAGCGGGATGGCGCGCTGCGCCTCTCCCGCTGTCCCCCGAGTTTGCGGGGCTGGGCCAGCCTTCTAACCAAGTCGGGGGACAGCGGGAAGGGCGCGCTGCACCCCTGCCGCTGTCTCCCGAGTTTGCGGGGCTGGCGACGGGGAGGAGCAGGCTTCTCCCCCCGCCAGCCTTCTAGACAAGTCGGGGGACAGCGGCAAAGGCGCGCTGCGCCTCTCCCGCTGTCCCCCGAGTTTGCGGGGCTGGCGACGGGGAGGAGCAGGCTTCTCCCCCCGCCAGCCTTCTAGACAAGTCGGGGGACAGCGGCAAAGGCGCGCTGCGCCTCTCCTGCTGTCCCCCGAGTTTGCGGGGCTGGCAACGGGGAGGAGCAGGCTTCTCCCCCCGCCAGCCTTCTAGCCAAGTCGGGGGTCAGCGGGAAAGGCGCGCTGCGCCTCTCCCGCTGTCCCCCGAGTTTGCGGGGCTGGCGACGGGGAGGAGCAGGCTTCTCCCCCAGCCAGCCTTCTAGCCAAGTCGGGGGACAGCGGGAAGGGCGCGCTGCGCCTCTCCCGCTGTCCCCCGAGCTTGTGGGGCTGGCGGTGGGGCTCTCCTGAAGCCTGGAGGTTGTGGGGCTGGTGGGGGGGAGAAGCAGGCTTGCTTCTCCCACCCCCAGCCTCCAGATCAGGTCGGGGAATAGCGGGATGGCGGAGCACATCCCGCCGGGCTTGCAAGACTTGGGATAGCTTCCTGAAGCCTGGAGAGCGAGAGGGGTCGGTGCGCACGGACCCCTCTCGCTCTCCAGGCTTCAGCAAAAGCCTGCATTCGCACCATAGGACGCACACACATTTCCCCTTCATTTTTGGAGGGGAAAAAGTGCGTCCTATAGTGCGAAAAATACGGTAAATAACAACACTTTGGAGGTCCCGAGCCTCAAGGAGGTTAGATTGGTTTCAACTAGGGCTAGGGCCTTTTCAGCCCTGACCCCGACATGGTGGAACGCTCTGTCACAAGAGACTAGGGCATCTTTGACATCTTTCCGCAGGGCCTGCAAGACGAAGCTGTTCAGCTTAGACTCACTCTGACCCCTTATATGGGATTTGGTATATAAATTGTCTCTTGGTTTTTTTGCTGGCCCATGTAGGACCAGCATGGATAGCTGGCTCGGGTGAATACCTGATGTTTCCTCCCTTTATTGTCTTGATTTATGGGCTACTACTAAAATGAGGCTGCATTTTAAGCTGTATTTTAAGCCGTATTTTAATTAACTGTTCGTTTGTTTGTTGTTGTTGTTGTTTCTGTTTCTGTTTCTATTATCTTTTATTGTAATTCATATTTGGTGTTAGCTGCCCTGAGCCCGGCCCTGGCCGAGGAGGGCGGGGTATAAATAAAAAGTTGTTGTTGTTGTTGTTAAAGTTTAATAAATAAAATGAGCTCCCACTACTCCAACCAGTCCTCCACAAGAAGAACCCATACGGTGATGTGGGGTCACATGTCAGCACCATGGATAGCTCTGAGTGCACAACTTTCTCTGGCAAAAGCTGGGGCCTGACTGGATCCTTGCGTGTCCCTCTGTCCACCTTTCGACTCCTAAGTCCCTGAGCGAGATTTCACTCTCCTCTTGAGTTTTTTCCTCCTGCTCTCTGGGACTTCTCACCTGGTACCTCCCCTGCATCACTGGATAGGTGGTGCCAATTGGGCGGGTTTGACCAAAAGGGCCAAGCAAGAGGCATGGAGGGCAGCCTTCACTGTGTGCAGGGTGGCGCTGGGCTCAAAACAGGGCCTTCATTATTCAGATCATCACGTTTTATGCTGCATGGGAGGAACTCGCAGCACAGTTTGAGAATTACTAAGGTTTCCTAAGACATGATTGTATTAAGCACTAACCATTAACAAAATTAGTTTCCTTCTTTATAGGTATATCCATTGGTTGTCTTAAAACTAAAAGAGGGAAAGAAGAAAAAGAATAAAGAAGGAGAAGGAGAAGGAGAAGAAGGAGAAGGAGGAGAAGAAGGAGAAGGAGAAGGAGGAGAAGGAGGAGACACAGAAATAGTACCATCAATACGCATTTACAAAGTGCAAGGTTTCTGCCCCGATAGTTTTGCAATCTATAATCTGACACAGGGGAAACAAAGGAAAGGAGGTAAGAGGAGCAAGGCTGGTATCTTAACTGGACAATCATATGCACCTAGTCCACCAGCATTACCTCCACTGTATCCAGACCATATCCAACTCAGGAGGTGAAGCAGGGAGGGAAGCAGAAAAAGTGTGGTGGGTAAAACTATCTATATTTTCCCTTGCTCCCTCCCATTAGACTCAATGAGAGGGAATTACTTAAGCCTGCCATAGCTTTCCAGTGCGGCTGTGGTTTAGGAATTAGCATTGGTCTGCTCTACCCCCGTGCACCCTTGCTTCACTCAAATTTTCAAATATTTAAATAGGAAAAGTATGTGCATTATTTCAGTGCCAGGTGTTTTGGGTTAGTTACAACAGGGAATGGAGAACAGGGCGGTGGAGACAAAGTCTTCTGGGGAAAGTTGGGTTAAGAAGACAGGGAAGAGGAGTCGAAAAGAGAACCCATACCTTGTTAAGTAGCTGCAACTCTTTCACCTGTAGACTGGCAACAAAAGGGCAAAACAGCATCCCCGAGGTGCAGGATTAGTCCAGGGCCAACTAGTTTCCCTTTCAAAATAAGCTTAATCAACTGAAGCTTATTTGTCTTAAAACGGAGCTGGGAGCTTTAAGGTGCCATCAACTCACCAACCCACAGCAACTGGGAAAACTGGGTGCAGAGTATGGTTAGGAGGCATGATGCCAAAAACTGGTACATACCATGAGCTCCAGCTTCCTCCAAAATTCATCCAGCGCAGCCATTGGTTTGTCCCACCAGTCAGTGCACTTCCTATAACGTTTACCCTGGAACCAAAATTGTCGGAGCCATTCAAACTCAACCTGCAACAAAGACAACATGGGGTTTTTCCCCCCTTAAAATTTTCCCAAGTGGACCTTTTCTGCCTATGCAGAAAAACAGAGGAGAATCAACTGTATAGGAGTAAACAAATGTTTACAAAAATGCTAGCTTAGGTTCAGCACAGAGCAAGACATGCCTCTCTCTGCCTGCCACTTCCAGCTCTCTCACACAACAACTCTGGCGACTGTTCTTCTACCTTCTATTATTATTATCCTTTGCGACTTAGTCTGTTAGGGTTTCAGAGACTGGAATACTGTACAGAAAAACTTGGTTGCAGGCTTGAAGGTTTTCCACAGGCATCTGGTCAGTCACTATGAGACTAGGTTGCTGGATTAGATGGGCCACAGGCATAATTCAGCAGGCTCTCCTTGTATTTTTACAATCTGATTCAATATAGCACGACTTTATGTTCTTGGAGTCAATCTGTACAATCAGACCTATGTGGCATGTCTGTAGCTGGACTTTACTATGGCAGACTGCATGGAGGAAATCTCAGAAGTGGGTGGGTAGGTGTGTATAACACACACACACACACACACACACACACACACACCAGAACAAGTAATATGCCAAGAAATAGGTTCCAGTGAGCTTTCTTTGTAGAAATTATTTAATATGTATTAATATTCACGTGAGATCACCCACCTGCAATCTGAAATGGTACAGCCCATTGACAGTTTTATCACATGAACCATCCTATCTTATAGCTTGCATTGTAAGAACGTCAAAATGTTGCTACGGTAGATCAGACCGAAAAGCTGTCTACGTATGTGCAGGGGTTCAACCCAGCAACAGGTTCATCAGACAAGTGTGCTGATCATGTAGTTCGGCTCGTCATCTCCTAGCCTGGTTTCATGCAGTCAGTGATGTGCTGCAAAAGTAACTAAATCTAAACCGTGTGTCCTTTAATGGAGTCTCCCCACCCTTTCCTTTGTACCCTCCCTTCCAGTGGACTCCACCAACATTTGATGGTGCCTTTCAAAATGACATGAAGGAAAGACAGAAAAACCTTTCAGTATCTTGTGTTGCCACTACTGTAGTTAAGGAGCAACAATGCAACTTCAGAGAGCTCATTGGTTAATCTTCAAGCATAGTTTTTTTTTTCCTCCTTTTTCTTTTGTGATACCCAGATCCCACTCTCTTTTCTTCCCTCTCTCTTCCTCTTTTTAAAAAAATTCAGTTCTGGTCAATTGGAACTGTGTATTTATCTTTGTTATGGTAGTTTGTGTTTTATACACAGGCTTGAATCCCCTTTCAATCTTCACCTGAGACCACAAAGAATTTTGTTCTGTTTACCCTGACTGAAGCTATGATGGGCCAAACAAAGAGAAACCTGTGGATGGAGCAACATTGAACCCCCTCCCCCTCAAAGTCCAATGATTAAGTTCTCACCTGATAATATTCTCTTCTTTGCTGCTGCTTCCTCCCCCCCTCCCCAAATCCTTCACTGCTTCCTCCTCCCCCAGGCTAAACAGATCAGATACAAAAGTCTGAAAGTGATTTTAGTTGACAGTCGCTAAACGCCCGTTTGATGTGTGTAACTGCTTTCAATAGAAGCTGTTTAAACAAAAAAGGCTATAGATAAAATAAAATAAAAATTAAAGACAACCCTGTTGGTAAAACATATTGGTAGGATTAGTGGACACCGGTTAACAGAGGTACACCTTAGATGTTTTGAAAGAAAGGTTACACAAATAGTTTAACTTCTCTTGGTATACAGGCTTAATAACACATGTCCTTCCCTAACAGGAGTTCAGCTAAAGTTGAGTCATCCTTCCAGTATAAGCCATATATATGGGTCTATAGTGGGACTATAAAGAGGGATACTAGATGATAGATAGATAGATAGATAGATAGATAGATAGATAGATGGATAGATGATAGATAGATAGATGATAGATAGATGATAGATAGATAGATAGATAGATAGATAGATAGATAGATAGATAGATAGATGATAGATAGATGATGATAGATAGATAGATAGATAGATAGATAGATAGATAGATAGATAGATAGATAGATGATAGATCTGCAGTACCATTCTAGTAATTGGGCAAAGGACTCAATCAGCTGATCCCACCAGGCCCTATTAAGTTCAAGCGGCAAAGCTCTGAGCAACTTGTATTCTTAGAGAAGGTCTTGCCTGGCTAAGCTCATCTTCCTTGCCCCTGTACTGTTACAAAACTGGAACGTGTCCAGAGGAGGCAACCAAAATGGTCAAAGGCCTGGAAACGATGCCTTATGAGGAACGGCTAAGGGAGCTGGGCATGTTTAGCCTGGAGAAGAGGAGGTTAAGGGGTGATATGATAGCCATGTTCAAATATATAAAAGGATGTCATATAGAGGAGGGAGAAAGGTTGTTTTCTGCTGCTCCAGAGAAGCGGACACGGAGCAATGGATCCAAACTACAAGAAAGAAGATTCCACCTAAACATTAGGAAGAACTTCCTGACAGTAAGAGCTGTTCGACAGTGGAATTTGCTGCCAAGGAGTGTGGTGGAGTCTCCGTCTTTGGAGGTCTTTAAGCAGAGGCTTGACAATCATATGTCAGGAGTGCTCTGATGGTGTTTCCTGCTTGGCAGGGGGTTGGACTCAATGGCCCTTGTGGTCGATTCCAACTCTATGATTCTATGATTCTATGAATTTGGAATGTCACCTCCTGACTGACTGTCCATGGCAGACCCATAAATGGGTGAATTGCCACAGGAAGAGTTGAAATGCAGGGCTTCCAGTGTAGGGTGGAAGCGGGAAGAGGGAGAGAAGAGGACGGAACCACAGCAAAGTGAAGGCAGCTTGCAGGCCTTCCCTGCTGATGCTTGATGTACAATATTCACATATTTGCACCCGGATTCTGAACAAAGCTAAGTTGTTGGTTTTTTTCCAAAAAAAAAGTTTGTTTGTTTGTGCCAGTGTTGTTCTTTCAATGGGAAATCATTCATACCAAAGCCAAATCAGGCCGCAGCAGTAAGCTGAATGGCACCACCCCAGAGTGCATTGTAAAAGCAGAACAACATAATGCTGCACACTTTTTTGTCTTGATCTCCCTCTGTTTGCAGCACTGATTTACCCCCAGCGTCACATCCAACTCTTCTCCGCTCGCCCTTTAAGCTATTATTAAAGGCACACTTTGAGAGTTACAGTCGATAAGGCACGGGGAAAAGGCCAGCGGACGCTGGCTGACATTTGGTGAGCCGGATGGGGGGTCCTCCGTTAATTATTTAAAGGCACTTGGCTTATGAAATGCCACCTAGGCAGGTGATCTATATTTCCTCTCTTCAACGCCAGCTGGCCACCAACTGCGCTGCCATTTCGGTGTAATGCGCGAAACACACACGTTACCCTTACCTTCGCTGTGTACATCGACACTCTTCTAAGCGGTGACCTAACAGTCTGCCAACACAACACCTTTGCAGTGGGCGTTAAGTTCAGGTAAGCCATAGGGACATAGGAAGCTGCCTTATACTGACTCAGACCATTGAGTCCATCTAGCTCTGTCTGCTTTACACTGACTGGCAGTGACTCTCCAGTGTTTTCCAAGACAGGGCTTTCTCCCAGTCCTACCTGGAGATGCCAGGGTTGGAACCAGAGACCTTCTATATGCAAAGCAATATGCTCTGCCACTGAGCCACGGACCTCACCCTAACAAACAGCCTTCACCTAGAAGCAATGCAAACTCCCTTTGTAGTAAGGAGTGTCCAATGCACTCTACAGCACTGACAATTGGTGCTGTTGGGAGAGGGAGAGGGGGAGAGAGAGATGACCATCACTATGATACTAGGAACTGAGTTCTACTCCCTAGCCAGCAAGCCCAGCTACCTTGAATCCAGCATTTTGGAATCACATTGTTCCAAACCCTAAAGGGCACAGGGTTGTATCCAATGTTAGTTCTACTCAGCGTAGAACCACCAAAATGAATTGGCATGACTAACGTAGGTCCATGGATTCCAATGGGCAGAACTTAACTGGATACAACCTATATTTTGCATTGAGCAGGGGTAACTGATGACTGCCCGGGCTGGATTGGGATCATGGGAGCTGGCACTCTGGAGGCCGCCATGTTGACTACCAACTTCATGGGCAATATTGTGGGAGGTAAATTGAGGGAAGGAGCTGCATGCAGAAAAGATATAATTGTAATTTACAATAGTGAGATAGGAGTTCTGCTTGAATACTTTACCATGGTGCTTTTGCATTCCTGCAGACCTGCCCAACTGCTTGCAAACTTATTTTATTTTCTCTGTTTAATGCTATTTACTCATGAGTGATACCCACCCCCCATCTCTGTACACCATTCTAGACACATCCCAGGAGCTGAATAAATCTCAAGCACTGGCCAGATCAACAGCTCAGCATTCATTCAGCAGTGCCAGATCATATATTTCAGGGTAAATTACTAGTGACCAAACAATCACCTGATTGCTTGAAGGGGTAATTTGATTCGTTCTGTAACAACTGTGTGTGCTGTTGCCTTTTTTATTATTGTAAAGATGGCTGTACCTCAGTAGAGTTGCCCCAAGTAGTTACTTCAATAAGCTTATCACACTCTTTGCCGACCTACATAACACTAGCCAAGTGTTTCAGGCACAGTCTGTTAATTTTAAAACAGGAGAGCGAGACACATTTGTTAATCTGTGATGTTTTTATGATGCTCTCAATCTAGTGGTTCTGTGCCCTGTGCAGTCCAGTCAAGCTCCAATTAGAGTGCATTATTGGGTTCAAGTCAAAGGCCTGACAAGTATCAGGATCACAAGTGGAGCCAGATGAAATCCACAGATGGACGGGGACAATCTTTCAGGCTGTCAAGGGAAAAGATATGGAGTGGGGTCATTGCCATTCTGGACACAGCAATATAAAACTGAGAAGGGTAGGAATAGTGTTTTTTTTATTGGTCCAATTTCTACTGCTTAGAGGGCTCTCATGGTTCAGAGAACCTTCCCCCCTTCACATACGGACTTCCCCTGCTTTGCAACCTGGCAGCAATAAGCCAGAATCTTGCAGAGAAAAGTATTTATGCGGCAAGCCCACCGTGGAAGAGTCCCCGCTGCAGTTTATGGACATTTTTCACCATCTCCACATAGATCAGGACTAGGGAACCTATAGCTCCCCAAATATTGTAGGAATCGAAGTCCTATTCTGAGCCAGCAAGGCCAATGGCCAGGGATGATTGGAATTGTACTCCAACATCTGATGGAGGGGAACAAGTTCCTCACTCCTGACAGAGATCAAACTTAGGGGAAACCTGTTCTGCTTTGAACCAGAAAGTACAAATCTGACAGCGCTGATTGGCTGCCCTTTGTGGCACTCACAAAGCTGATTTCCCTCTTCTATGGAGCCCAGCTGTCTATTGCACTTCTTGGCTGACCTTTGCATCAGCCACTAAGCCCTCTCCCCTCCTTCCCAGAGCAGTTTTTGCACCATAAAGCCACCCCCCCAACAGAGTGTCTGGTCATAAGAGCATAAGAAGAGCCTTCTGGATCAGGTAATGGTCCATTTAGTCCAGCATCCTGCTTTCCCAGTGGCCAACCAGATGCCTGTTGCAAGCCATCAAGCAATACTCCTATTGCAATTTCCTTTGTTCTCGCCAGCAAAGAATTCCTGCACTGAAGAAAGTTCTGGGGGACTGCTGAGCTATCTCTAGGACTTCATATGTAAAGCTGAGATTTTCTTCCAACATATGCCTCACAGATTAAGAACATACCAGTTGTATTAGGCCATGAACCTACCAAGCATTACTCTATAATTAGTATACAAAAGGCATGTGGTCCTTTTTCTCTTTTCTCTTTCTTTCTTTCCCTCCTCCTCCTTTTTTTTTTGTTAAGGGAGAATCAAAGACCTGCATTAGCACCGCAGATGTCTAGGCTTCCCGTTTACAGTGGGATTCGACAAAGAAATGTGTCTCCGCAGCAATGTAAACCACAGATAAGTTGCCCACATATGTGGCAGAGAGGAGAGACTTGTCGGGAGGAAGAGAGGGAGGGGGGAGCCTGCTGTTGTGTGGAATTAACCCACATTCTGACTGGAAAGCTAATCTTGGAGAAAGGGGCTGGGAGGGTGGGATCAAAAGCTCATGAACGGGCAACTCCAAACTCTCTTGCTTTATCATGGCGTGTAGAAATTGAGATCTACTGTTGGGGTGAGGATAGGGTAAAGGAGTTCAGAGTGTAGGGAAGTACTACTGCCTGCCAGCCGGTGTCTGAGAGGACCAGGAGTTGAGTATGGAGGGCAAAGTTGAAGGGGCCAGAGCCAAAGGGACTTATGGGAACAGCCCAGAGCCTTAGAAGAGCCCAATGGCCAGGCTAGTTGGGAGATGCCAATGCACTGCTTAGAAATGCTTACCACCAAGAATATGCTCCAAGCTACAACTCTAGCATCTCACCACAATACCCAAAGTTTCCACTTCTAGTCCTGCAACCTACCAGTCAGCACCTGCATGTTCTGGCTTACTGGGTGGTAGGCAGTCTCCATCAGGCAATTCCAGGAAAGCATCAAAATCAGGGTGTTTGGTGTGTATTCCTGGTGTGCCACAACATCTGGCTGATAAGCTGCCTCCAGGTTGGTGGCTCACTGTGTGTGTGGATCCAACATAAAGGGATTCATCAGGGGTGGGGAGAAAATAGATTCTGCTATTCCAGTAAACACTGGCCAAGTACTTGCTGGTTGTTGGGATTCTTGCAAAGAACGCTGGAATGGGCAGAACTTGGTCAGGTCCATCAGGGCATCTCTTCTCTTTGTAAACAAGAGAGAATACTCAGGATTTCAAAACACAGCTCAGGTTATGTCATAATTGCCAAGAGATCCTGAGTATACATTCTTGCTTGCAAATAGTAAGGATTGTGTCATACTGAATCAGTTAGTTACCCCCATTAACTTCAATGGTTCTACTCTGAGTAGAACTAGTATAGTATATCACCCTAATACAGCAATTTCAGTTTTCAAAAAGTAGATTGCACAAGTCATAATATATTTGAACCTTATCCTCATTACAAATTGAACTGAAATCCCCTTGTACACACCATGGGTTCCATATTCAATGTTAGTCCTATGCAGAGTAGACCCATTGCAAATAATGGACAAGACCATCTTAGGTCTATTACTTCCAAAAGGCATCCAAGCTTAGCTGGATACAACCCAATGGAATCCACCCAAATCTTATAGTCAAGTGTTATGCACCACACCATGCACCACTACCTTATTCAGAGTCTTCTAAACCAGTGGTGCAAAACCTGTGGCCCTGAAGCCATTGTTGGACACCAGCACAAAACAGCTCCAGCAAGCATGGTCAATGGTACAAGATGATGGAATCTGAAGTCTGGTAATATCTGGAGGGTCACAGGTATCTGGCCCTTTCTCAAGACTACATAGTAAGCTTCTTATACCTGTTCAGGTCACTTGTCCATTTAACCCAGTGCTGTCTACTTTGAAATGGTGTAGCTTTGTAATCGTTCAGACCCAAGGTCTTTCCTTCCACCTGATACCTGATCCTTTTAACCGGAAACACCAGGACTGAACTGGGAACTTCTGCAAGCAAAGCAAGTGCTCTGCCTATATGAAATGCAAATTTCATACGCCCTGTGCAGCTTTTCTTTCAATGTAAACCTTCTTCTCACCTCATTATGGGTTTCTTCCACTCGCTTTATGTCATCGACATCCAGAGATTTCAAAGTCGGACAGCTCAAATGAGTATCGGTGCACAAGTTCTGAAGTGCAGCATTGCACTGGTCCAAAATATAAGGCAGGGTCCCTTGAGAGCACTGTTAGAATTCATAAATGCAGAAAGAAAATTTAGCCCCAAATGGAATCAAACAAGCAAAAAAGAGATTCCAAACCCAACTCCAGTCACTTAAGAGACTGGCACTATATTAAACTATAGGTATGCACCATTAGCAACAGTAGCTGCACTGATTTCAATTGCTGTTGTTATTATTGCTACTACTATTTTGTGAGTCACTTGTTACCCAAAGGTATCCAAGTGACTTACAAGATATTTAAAGCATAAATATAAATACATTATACCATAAAGATATCAAAACAACTGTACAGTCACAGGAAGCTTTGGCAGCACACTAGTAACAAAACATTAGCTTAGTTGGTCAGAAAGCCCTTGAAAAAACAATGGTCTTTGCCTAGTGTCAAAAAGCTGTCAACAAAGGCACCACGTGGATATATTGCACAGATCAGGAGCCACAAATGAAAAGGCCCTACTATTGTCTTCACACTCCAAGCCTCAACTGTGAGGGAGGACCTGGAGAAGGGCTAAAGGTCCAGGTAGTAATAGTACTAGCACTGGTAGTACCTGATAATAATGTTCAATATGAAGAAGAAGAAGAAGAAGAAGAACAATAAGAATAATGTTTAAGAAGTCCTCAATGGCTCTATGGCCCACTAACATCAGAATATGAGCTAAATAAAATGAGTATAATGTGATGTATTTAGCACTGGGATCTACCATTTCAGGCTCTTGTTGAGGTTTCTAACATACCCCCTGCAGACACAAAGCTGTCAGGGTAGACCTTCCTTACTGGCATGCAGGTTTTGTTCATATTCCCCCCACCCCACCCCACCCCACCCCCCACACTGCATTTTGATCCCCTGCTTGCACTAGGTAACAGTATAGCCCAGCAACAACAAAAATGCTGCAACTGAAATTCAAGGTAAATAATCCATGCTGCTAGCCCAGTTCTAAGAACTGTTGCAACAACAAAGAAAAGCTTAAGATCAAAAACACGTAGCAACATCGTTGGCAGCTTGAAACATGAGAGAGAACCAATGTTGCCACAACACTGTGCTGGCATCGGAGACAGATATGCTTGCACAGGTAATTACGGGTAGAGAGTTGGATTGCCTCAGTGTTTATGACTGAAAGTGGGCAGCTTCTTTAACAATGATCTAAAACCCTCTCTCTCTATTTCTCGCTCTCTTTCTCTCGCTTTGGTTTTTTTAAAAAAATGTTTTCATTTATTTTCTCCAAGGAGCTCAAGGTGGCGCTTGTGGTTTCCCACCTTCTCATTTAATCCCCACAACCACCCTGTGAGGTGGGTTAGGCTGAGAGGTTAGGCAAGGTCGCCCAGTGATCAGGGGTTTGAACCCTGGTCTACCAGATCCTAATCGGACACTCTAACTACTACACCACTCAGACTGATGTATGCAAAGGACTCTGAAGCCTCCTTACAATTACGAACATAACAGCATAAGAAGAGCCTGCTGGATCAGGCGAATGGCCAGCCAGATGGCTGTGGGAAACCAGCGAGCAGAACATGAGCACAAGAGCACTCTCCCCTTATGCAGTCTCCAGCAACTGGTATTCAGAAGCATTACTGCTTCCAATTGTGGAGGCAGAGCATAATCCTAATAGCTAAGGACACTCGCCTGCAAGGAAGCTCTTTAGCTCATTCTGCCAAGTGTGCTTAGAAACACCTTTCAGGCAAGACTTTTCTCTAAAAACCTGGAAAAAGGCTACAGGTCTCCAACCTGTTGCCCTCCAGATGTTCTGGACTACAATTCCAATCATCCTTCACCATAGGCCATGGTGGCTGGGGGAATGATGGAAGTTGGAAGACCCAAACACCTGGGAAAGGGGATTGGAAAACCCAATTTGGGAAGAGTAGGGTAGGTAATACTGAGCTCAGTAAAAATAAAACTACAGTGGTGCCCCGCAAGACGAATGCCTCGCAAGACGAAAAACTCGTTAGACGAAAGGGTTTTCCGTTTTTTGAGTCATTCCGCAAGACGAATTTCCCTATGGGCTTGCTTCGCAAGACGAAACGTCTTGAGAGTTCTTGCGAGTTAGTTTCCTTTTTCTTAAAGCCGCTAAGCCGCTAATAGCCGCTAAGCCGCTAAGCCGCTAATAGCCGTGCTTCGCAAGACAAAAAAACCGCAAGACGAAGAGACTCGCAGAACGGATTAATTTCGCCTTGCGAGGCACCACTGTAGCTTTATCTCTCACTCTGTCTCTCTCTCTTTCAGAATAGGGCCCTATCTGCAGTAGATATTTGAAGTGGTATTATACCACTTTAAGCAATCATGGCTCCCCCCCCCACAGAATCCTGGGAACTGTAGTTTGTTAATGGTGCTGAGGGCTGTTAGGAGACTCCCTATTCTCCTCACCAAGCTACCATTCGTAGTGGATGAACAATCCCTCTTCCCAGGGACTTCTAGGACTCCGTACAGTGCAAAGGAGGCCTAAACCTACAACCCAGGGTTGGCTCAAACACTACGATGAGCTTCTTGGAGTAGCAGTGGGGCTACAAATGAAACTAATTGAAACATGGAATAAAGTAATCGATGGAAGATGGATCTATCAATGGTTTTGAGCTACAAGGGACTTACAACGAGCTTACAAGCACTGGGTAGGTAAGGGGCCAGGGCAGTCTCATAAGATTGTGTGGGAGGGTTGCTGTCTTCATGCACTGCTTGTGGTCTGGAGGCATCTGGGTGGCCATTGTGGGGGAAACAGGATGCTAGGTTAGCTCGAACTTTGTTCTGATCCAGCAGGGTTCTTCCCATGTTCTTTAATTAATATGCAAACTGGGGTGGGGACCTCAGGTACAAACATGCCTAGGGAACCCAAGACTTTGAGGCGGTAGGGGGCTCCTTGCTTAATTCAGGGCCCAGAGGGCACCACCCGTATGCGGGAAACAAGCAGATGAAAAAAGCCACACTGCAGATGAAGAGAATACACATGTATGCATTGGAACATCATCTGCCCCCATTCACAGGAAAACTCTATTCTGGACTGAAAGAACAAACAAAACATGAAATAGACTTTTCTCTGTGGGGAGGGGGGGTGTTCTCACACAACGATGCGTCTACATCAGGATCTTTTTCAGTTAAATATTTATAAGTGCCACTAAATCCCCAAGAACAGCCCTGAGAAAGGACCCCTTGGTGCTATGATTCTTTGTATTGAAAATTTCCATACTATATAATGTGAGGTTACAGAGGTTTATGAAAACAAAGCAGGGGCTTCTAAAGAGGAAGCTTCTTCTCCTTTTCTTTGTGTGTGTGTGGAAGTAAATGTGCATTTTAATATCAGAATAACAGAGTGTGGGGAGCAGGGTCAGCGAGTTCATTCTTTACTGAAAAGGACAAATAACAAGCCTTTTTAAGTGATGTTTAGAACCCTAGACTAATATGGATATATTACTATGATAATAATACATAATACTATTACACTAATATGTGTATATTAGATTGCTTATTTTAAGAGTCTTAGCTTGCACGGTTTCTGTAATTATGTTTTATGATGGCAGTACACAAGTCTGTGGGCTGAGTTCAACAAAATAAATGTGAGAGTGGAATGACTTCTGCTTGTGTGACCAGACTTTTGCCCCGCTTGCCCCGCACTTTCCCTGAATTTGCTCTGGAGGGGTGGGGAACTACCAGAATGGATTTAAGGGGCATGTGGGGGAGATGAAAGGGGGAAGGTCTCATTGCAGAAGTCATTCTGCTCGCTCAGAGCATTACTTTGAATACATTCCTGTATCCTACTTTTTCTGTACTGCTTCATCAGGGTGGGCAGAATAAGTCCCACCAGTGTCTCAATGTGCTAATAGCCCTGCACAGGTAAGAGGGTGTTCATGCACGTTTCACTGAAAATCAACCAACCAACCAGAGTTAACAACAAGAGTGTTCATCTGAGGAACAATCATATCAATGAGTTGTAGATTTTTCTCTGTTTTGCTTTATGCTGGTTTTAATGTATGTGTGATTTATTTATTGTTGTAAGTCACTTTTGAGTTATTTTGATTTTTAAAAAAGCAACTACTAAGTTTAGTAGATATAATTTATTTATTTCAATATGTAATGGCAATGAAAACAAATTCACAGTAAACTCAGAGATGCATGGTTAGAACTAGTAGCCACTTCCACCCATTCCCACCCAGCTAATCCCTCTTACTCCCCACCCCTCTCCCCTCTCCCCTCTCCCCTCTCCCAAATGGCAAAATTCCCACCCCCTACCCAACTGCTCCCTTGAAATCCCCTTTCCCACTTATCATAACAAGGCAATCTCATCCCCCTTTCTTGCCAAACACAATCCTCAAGCATGGTTCATTGTGAAAGACACCCCTTTCTCGCTGCTATTTTTGTTGGAACATAAATGGCCATTGGGGTCCTACAAGACTTCAGAGTAGAATGAAATGGTTTTTTAAAAACCACTCCACCTGCCCCACATCATTGCACCAATCCTGAATGCCCCCCCTTGGCCTACAATTGTGACTTAAAGGTGTTGTTTTTTTAAAAAAATGTATGCAATGCAAGCTACCCATTTAAAGTAGAATGTAGTTGGGCCCTCAGAGAAGAGCATCCAAGATGAGAGAAGGAAACCATTATTGTTCCAGGAAAAAACAAACCCCCAAATTCTCTGTTACTCACCTCTGCCACCCTATGAGTAGAACTGAATCTAGGCGGCAAGCCAGCCAGGACACAATGCTGGTGGGTCATGTTGAGATCATCTGTGAACGGAAAATAAGAGTTAGAGTCAACTGTGGAGATGGGTACATGATATAGCTGCGGCAGAGGAAAGCAGGGTAATGTAGGATCAATGCAGATGTTGCTGGACTACAACTGACTGTGCTATCTGGAGCTGACTGGAGTTGGGAGTCCAAAAGATTTGGAGGCCACCAGGTTGGCCGTGTGCCCATCTAGAGATGCATATCTTCCCTTCACTCACTGAACATGTTCCCCACATGCTTTTATGATATCTAAATCAAGCCTTCGTGTTCAGAGGTAGTGTAACTCTCTGAGTACCAGTTATCTGGAAGTTGGACAAGCATGAGAGGGCTACTGCCTTTATGCCCTGCAGCTTCTCAAAGACATCTGGGCATCTACTGATGACGCAGGATGCTGGTCTAGAGGGAGCCTTGCTCTCATTTAGCAGAACTTCCTCTTGTTTGGTTTTAGTGCAGGAAAAAAGCAAACAGCCACTGTAAAGAGTAGACCCATCTGTAGTGTACATTTAAAGCAATATCACACCACCTTAAACAGACGTGGCTTCCCAAAGAATCCTGTGAACTGCAGCTTGTTAAGGGTGCAGAGAGTTGTTAAAGGACCCGCTATTGCCCTCACAATTCTCTGAGGTACAATTCTCAGAGTGGTTCAGCAGTCAGTCCCAAGGAACTCGGGAAGCTGTAGCTCTGTAAAAGGAATAGGGAAGTCTCCTAACACCTTGAAGCAGTCTTAAGCTACAGTTCCCGGGATTTTTGTGTGGGAAGCTAAGAGTTTACAGTGGTATAATACTGTTTTAAGTGTATTGTGAAGATGGGGCCTATGGCTCAGTCCTAATAAAGAATCATTTTGTAACCATCAGAAAAAGTATGCATAATGAGGTTTTTTTTGGGGGGAGAGGTGGGGCTAGAGAACCTTACATAATTAATTAGCAGACAACTGAACAAGATGTAGCAGATTTACCAAACTCACATGATCAAAGTTTAGCAACAACAAATAACTTTCAGGAGTTCATGGCCTTAGCAAATAGAGATACACAAAGTATGTAGATCAAATGTAGGGGTCAAGTTTCAGAGGCAAATTAACTGGATGGAAATATGAATGAGGCTCACGGTGCATATGGAAGGGTTTTGCTTTTCCATTTTTTCCATTTAATGCTGCAAATCTCCAACCACAGCCCATTCAGCCAAGTCTATGCTCCCAACTTCTAGTTAATGAAAATAATTTTTTTGATGCTCCTTGAAATATATAATTTGCTCGGTCCCCTTCCCCCACAAACTCCTCTCTCCCTCCCCCCGCCAGAAAAAGAGGCCACTGAATACATCCTCATGCCGTGTTTAAACCCCATAACCTTCAAGCAACATTTGATCTATAGGAAACAGCTGTGGAGAAGCAAGTCTTCCCTCTTTGAACAAGCCCGAAGTATATTTTGCTCCAGTGTGTTTTGAAGTCACGGTAGGCAAAAATTAGTGACAATTGTAAATCTGCCTGAAAATCTGGTCATGTCTACCTCTTAAAGATTAGGGGTGGGGGAGACTGCAAAGACCATGACAACCTCAGTTAAGCATGCTGTGGGGCACAGCAGATGGGGCCGCCCCAGTTGCCTGCCACGTGCTATGGATTTACTGCATGCCCTCCCCCCATAACGTTTTGTATCAGACACCCCTTTGATGGAGTACTGGAGGCAGCAAAGTTCAGCCCAAACTCCCTCTACAAGTGTGTGTGTGTATTGAGCTAAACTGTTTCTCTTTCACATAGGACATGAAAATCAGATTTCACTTATCGTAGAAAGCTTCTGTCTGGGAAAGGAGAACACCGGTTCCAGATAACCCATCAAAGTCTATTTTTGATATTAAGAGGAAAAGGTGATGATCAATTTTCAGTGCAAACTGCACAGTTCAAGGTGTGGCTTAATATTCACCTGAAAAGAGAGGTGGTGGTGGGAATGGAGACAAGAGCTTAAGAAGCAGGTGTTGAACTAACCTTTAAAATTTCAACTTTAACACCTTCCCCCTCAAAGCACAACAAAGAGTCTTATTATATTCTCCAGCACCAGAGCTGAAAAAGACCTCGGGAATTCTTTTGGAGGGGGAAAAAAACAGAGCAATAAAATACTAAAAATGCACTCACTCTTTCCAGTTCTTTGAAAGAAGTGGGGGTTTCTGCTTGCCCATTTAGCTTGTCTTAATACATCATTTATGGCATCTACGATGCAGAAATATTTGAGGAAATAATACTGCTTCCAGAATTAGCAGAGGCTCTAGCAGTGAAGTAGGCACATCCTGAGTTCATGAATTAGGCCAATTAGTGCAATTTCTGTTGCTGAGGGGTGATGTGGAAACATGCCTTTTGCCTTCCAGTTTTGTTTATGTGGGGAGTACGCTGTGGAAGATAGACCCCAGTACCTATTTAAAAACTCTGCTTCTTGGGAGGGAACACTTGCTGGAGGTTTCACCATCAGTTTGCCATGTCACAGTCTCCTTGGTCAGATTTTCAAATAATGATTTGTTTACCAGTAAATATCAAAATATCATTGTCAGCACAGGGGCTGCCCTCCCGCTAGCTATAGCCAAAGATTTCTGGATGCTTTGTGTGAAGATTGTGGATAGGTGCAGGGATCATTCACATATTTTCCAAATTTCATTAATGATGATATTCCTTTTATGTCTTACACCTATTTTTCGTGGAACCAGACTGTTCACAGTCCGCAGTGTAAATATACCAAAAGTTTATTTACGCTGTGGACCATGGTCAATACACAGAACACAGGGAAGCTACCTTATGCAGAGTCAGATTATTGGTTCATCTAGCTCAGTATTGTCTTCACTGACACGCAGCAACCCTCCAGCATTTCAAACAGGGATTCTTTCCTGGCCCAGCCTGGAGATGCCGAGGATTGAACCTCAGGTGTTTGGCATGCAAAGCAGCACTGACCGTTTCCAAATACAAGAAGAAGAAAAACCTTATTTACTGTATTTTTCACTATAAGACGCACCAGACCACAAGACGCACCTAGTTTTTGGAGGAGGAAACAAGAAAAAAAATATTCTGAATCTCAGAAGCCAGAACAGCAAGAGGGATCGCTACGTAGTGAAAGCAGCAATCCCTTTTGCTGTTATGGCTTCTGGGATAGCTGCACAGCCTGCATTCGCTTCCATAAGACGCACACACATTTCCCCTTACTTTTTAGGAGGGAAAAAGTGAGTCTTATAGAACAAAAAATACGGTAATTCTCAGCAGCAGCAATGTTAGCTGCCCCTTCGTTAACTGCATTTTTAACCTGCCTTTCTCTCAGAGTGCTCTGGGCACCCGATACGTTTCCCTCCCTTCTAGCTTTGCAACAATCCTATGAGGTGGAATCCTATGAGGTGGAGGAAGCTGAAAGAGGTGACTGGTTCAGAGTATTATGGCTAAGTGGGGATTTGAAGCTGGGTCTCAGCAGCGGTAGTCCGACACTCTAACTGCTATACCACACTGTGTGTTTTTTGGCCCTCCAGATGCTGCTGGATTACAAACCCCATAATCTCTGACCATTGGCCATGGTGGCTGGGGATAATGTCCAACAATAACTGGAGGGCCACAGGTTCTCCATCACTGCTCTAGGCTGAGCAGTAGTAGGACTTTGAAAGTAGAAGATGGCTAGGTTGTCTGTTCACCCAAAGAATCCTATGGAAGAAAAGCATTTATTTGTTTACTTCCAGTGTAGATACAGAAACCATAAGGTACAATGTACAGCGATAACATTGCTGAATCATAAAAAAACAGATTCAAACTCAAGAACTTAAAACTCCTAATTAAATAACAGACTCTAGCCCCACACCAGGATGCCCCGAAAGCCCAGTTGAGTAAGTGCCTCTTAAATTGACAACTCCACTGTGCGGATGACTGACACACCATCGGAGAAATGGCGTTCCCCAAATGGGGCACTACCACAGAGAAGACCCTATCCTGGATTACCGCACAACAAGCAACACCAATCAGTGTGGCAGCAAGAAGGGTTGAGCTGCTGTGAAGCTTTCAAGGGGCAGGTCAGCAGATTAAAGCTAAAGAGGTTGAATTCCAGAACATAGCTGAGCACTCTCCAGATCAACTGTATTCTGGATTTCAGCCTCTGTACTTTTACAAAACTGTTTTAATGAGCCAAAGGTAGATGTGTCCTTCAGCCTTACAGGAGGTTGGGTATACCAGATTGTAAGCTATGAGAACAGAGGAAGCTCAAGGCCCATATAGGTAGACTGAGCATTCATATATTTTAGGTTTTTTCTAGCAACAATATAGTAGCTACTTTCAGAAGCTTTTGTTTTTTTAAGGTAGAGCAATGTTGAAACCCCCCCCCAAAAAAAAAACTACCTTTGTTAAATATTACAAAAAAGATTGCAAGTGATTTACAAATACAGAAAGGAACTTGTAACCCCCACCCTATAAATATCCAAACCAGTTGGTCCCTATAAAGTACTGGTCAGAATAAGTGATTTATACACTTGGACTGGCAGAGAATTTAATATGTCTCCACATAAACATGATCAGGATGTTGTTACAGTGTTAAAATAAAATAATATTTTTTAAGCTGTTCTTTATATTGCATTTCCAACATGGCATGAGATGTAGTATATAAAGTTAAGTAAGTATCAGGGGAAATGAGCCAAGCTCACACCGACTCAAGGTTTGGTTTGGTTTGATGTGACTGGAGAGAATTTAAGAAGCACAGAATTCCACTACACGCATGGGTCTATTCTTGCTAGTACAAGCAACATTGAGGCAGGAGAGCGAATTACGTTAGGTGTGGGGAACCTGTGGAACTCCAGAGGTTGCCAGACTACAACTCCCATCATCCCTGACCGCCAGCAATGCTGGCTGGTGCTGATGGGAGTTGGAGTTCAACATCCAGAGAAACACAGGTCTCCCACCCTGATTTAAGGGGTTACTCTGTTCAGCAATCACACGAGGGGGAGAGCAGAGCCATGCTTCCTGGCCCTGGCCCCACTTCCTCACTGATTCTATCTGTGCAGTGAAGTGCAAGAGCCACACCACACTAGCTCTCATGCATTTACATAAAAGCATTGTTTGTACATAACCCCCCCCCATGTAATTCAACAAGTATCCACCTGCATCTTGCACATTAAAATATTTTTCTTTTGATATTGTTTCTTTTGGTCATGCAAACAACAACAACAACGGACTGTGTATATTTTTCTTCTTCCCGATCTCTAGATGTGAAGGCTTACAGTCTACCCCTTCACCTCCTATAGTAGTGCTTTTCCTCTTGTTTTTTCCCCTCCTGCACATGTTTTCCTTTCCTCTTTTTTTTTTAACTGACTATTGCTCTCCTTGTTTTTCTGCCCCTACCAAGGAGGGGTGAGAAAGTGGAAAAGAAATAGAAATGGGTACCATGTTTGCTTTTAGATACTACCTAGCATAAAGTAGCAGTCTCCTGGGTACAGGGGTACAGCCAACCCCGGGTTCTTTATGTCCCAAGCAACTTTCAAGCCAACATGCCAGACAGCTGGGTCTCTGCCACTTGGAGCCTTCTCCTCAAGAATATCAGCGGCAGGTTCTGAAAAGGAAAAGCAAAGCAAATAATTTAACAGACCTGGAAACAATCTCCTTTTTCGTTAGGGAAGAAAATCTCTGTTCCCCATCAACACGGTCATTCATGAGAGATCAGAATGGCAAGAAGGTGAAGAACGATTTGACTTCTAAGCTTCTAGCAGTCTTTCACAATGCAATATTCCATGGGCTGCTTTGGTGCCTGCTGTAATGGTGCCTCATCAAAAAACAAAGGAAAGTGGTTTTCCTTCAAAATTAGTGCTTTTAGCTGCATGCATTTTAAATAGATAAATCAATATGGTTAGTCGACAAAAAAATTCTGAAACAAAACAACATCTTTGTTGCTATCATTGGATTGGAAAGGGACTTAGCAAATGATCTCTGCAAAGCCATGTGGGGAAGGGTCCTAGCTCAGTGGTAGAGCACATGCTTTGCATACAGAAAATCCCAAATACAATCTCCAGGTAGGACCAGAAAAAGTTTCCAGTGTGACATCCTGGAGAGCCACTAGTCAGTCTATGTAGACAATGCTGGACTAGACTCGGTATAAGGCAACTTTCTATGTTCTACAAGATATCAAGAAAAACCAACAGCCTTGCCACAAACTCTATAAAACATCAAAATTGGATAAATGTGTCAATTTGTTTGTCCATACAAACAGGTGTCAAGTGCAAGTTTTTCTGCAAGTTTTTATCCTGATCAATTTTCAATTTCCACCCTCCCCCCCCAAAAAAAAACTTTAGGGTGGGAGAACAGATTTATAACTTTCATTATTTCACACACCAACCTGTGGACCAACACTGACCTCCTGGCTTCTCAATATTCAAGCCATCCATCACGTGAGGCTGCGGCAATGTTTATTTAGACTAGGGCTTTACTAGTCAGTCATAAAATATGAAAATGATTTCCCAGCTGATTTGGTACCAAAACACACTCATCTTTCCCCACCCCCCTTCTTTTAAGTATGCATGTGGGCCTAATTCCCATAGTTGTTCCTTCCTTCCGGGGACTCTTGATTGTGACATCAATAAAATAAGCAATGGTGGCAAACAGCTTAAAAAGCAACACTGCCAGAATCAATAATAACTTGCTTTCAAGGGCCTTCAATATTTTTTGCCTCCTTTTGGGAAGAACTCTTAACAATATTAGAACAGGGGACACTTTCTGAAAACAGCAGGTAAGAGCTTTCAGTGCAATCTGACCCAGATAGTGGAAGAAAGAGGTAATTTTTTGAGGGTTAATTTTGTCTGTTAGGTTGCTTTCCCTTCATTTGTGCTGTTCACAATATGGCCTCAATAAAATATGGAACTACAATCAGAGACAGCAATTTCAATCAATGCTTCCTGGGGTGCCCTCATAAATCCAGCACCTTTGGAATGCACTCGTTAAAGCATCGCTCTCCTCTGCAGTTTGATCATTTTCTTCCCTTTTATTGCTTAAGTGTAGAGTTCAAATATAGCCCTCGCGCTGCCATTCCCGTTCCTCTCAACTAACGTGACTTATAATTATCACCACCAATTGAAGCGGATTACTCCCACTGTGCTATTTTGGAAACAATAGAACAGCAAGCTGCTACTTGTTTTCAAAACATCAGTTGCTCCAAAGTGACATAAACTTTGGCTGCAGCCGGGTAGCGGAGAGGATGGTCTGCATGCAAAAGTTTCCATGTTCCATCGCCAGTATCTCCAGCTTGGGCTAGGTACTGGATTTGCTTATCTGTGTGTCACCTTGCTCCCAGTCGTGGAACGCAAGACGGTTTACATGGAGTTTCCAGGAAATTCCCCATTCCAGCACTGAGATGCATGCAACAGTACATGTACGCCCCTCCAGTAGTGTGCATTCATGATGGTTTGTGCTCAGGATGCTATCGGATGAGTTACACGCAATCTCCACTTTCAGTACTGTTGGTGTCTGCCAAAATTTTGTGGCGGACAAACTGATTTGTTTCCAGTTGGTGCATGTCCCATTACATTCTGCCGAAATCCTGTAACTTTTCACACTACAAGTGGACGATGGTAATGGTATTTCTCCCACTTCTGTTGCGCTGAATTGAAAGAATGCCCCCTGTCAACAGCAAAAATGCAGTAATATTGGAGAACGACTTATAAAGTGGAATGATGGATGGATGGTCCAGTATAAATCCACCACTAGGACTGCGTCAATGAAATGCTGCAGAACACACCTGCAAAAAATTACTAGACCCCCCAACTTTCTAGTTTATCATAGTGCATCTACCACTTGACTTTGCTCCTCCCCTGCAGCAAGTGGGATAAACAAATCAGGATAAACGAAACAACCCCTTGTGTTATGTGCAAACCAGAGATCTAGTTTCTAACTTGTTCACCCCGCTCCCATCAGGGGAGGAACAAAGTAGGAGTGACTGGAGAGTATGTTTGACTAGTGCTCATGATGCTATTGGGGAGGTCACAAGCAATCTCGCTTTCAATACTGTGCGCATGCAAGTTTTGGAGTGGTGACACTACTTCATCTCCAACCTATGCATATCCTGAATATCACAAATCTTCTTTGTTGCACTACAGGCCCGCCAAAGAGCAAGTATGTGATAGTATTGGGGAAGCATTTCAAAACAAACTAAAACAGTATAAATCGACCACTTGCACTATTATTGTGCCAAGAACTTGTTGCAAAATACACTCACAATAAAAGGTAAGTCTGAAGGGAGTTCTACATTGCCCCTGTGCTCTCTTCCAGAAGTGTCAACAACGGTTTCTTTTCCAACATGCCTTCTGTAGTTGAGGAAGATGCCCCTAGAACTGGGCAGTCTTGGAAATTAGTGGCCTTGCTTGCAAGGATTACCTCTGTTTTGTTTTGTTTTTTTTCCTCCCAGAGGGTGACGTCTTTAAACTCATTAGTATTGCTAGGAAAATCTCCAAACACAGTTCCTTGCAGGCTGTACAAATTACTGCTAACTGACCTTGCATCTATTAAGCAGCAAATAGAAGGGATTACTGGTCAATTATCAATCCACGGGAACATTCCAATTGGTTTATAAAGTCATTAGCAACGAAGAAGCTGTCAGCTCTCGCCCAATCACAGCTGCAGTGAAAATGAAGTAGCAGTTGCTCTGCTTAGCCAAGATATATATATATTTTAATTTAATAAAATATAATAATAATAATAATAATAAAGTACTCTGTGTTAGGGTGGAGGGACAACACAAATTGTACATTATGAAAGTCAGAAGTAATAAGCCTTTCATGATCGGTCACCATTGCAGTCAATCACTGGTTTGTTAGCCTGTTAAACATTAACTTGTCAACTAACAGATCCAGTTGTTTATTACTCTAAGATTTACACACTCAGGCAAGTCTTAAGAGGCAGCAGGCCAAGAACAATACTGGTGAAAGAATCCACAGAAAGGAAAACTCTTTCTCCGCAACAGAACAGCCTACCCATGTTACAGAGAATAGAAAGAATTGAAAACACACATACACACACTATGAGAATGTTATAGCAATTATTCATATACGTTAGTCTATATCCACTTTCAAGAGTCACTGATAACTAAATTTAGGGCATAAGTTCCAGGATCTAATATATGCTCACACACCAAAGCCCATCATCAAGCCTACATCCCCAGATGGGCAGGGTAGAAATTATTTGTTTTTGTTTGTTATTATTATTATTATTATTATTATTATTATTATTATTATTACTACTACTACTACATGGTTACAAATACATGTACATCACCTTGAGCTCATGGAGGAAAAAGGAGAGATACAAATGCAAAAGATCAATCGATCAATCGATTGATTGATCGATCAGATAGAATAGATACACAGACACCCTGGGCAATCAGACCAAGGTAGCCCCACACAGATCCTAGGAGTAGAAATAACTATTATATGGGACAAGGCTGCAAGAGAAGGAATTTCACTAATTGACTCAACACCAAATCTCTGCCTTCACATTCTGGGTCACCATACACAGCAACATAACCATATCAGAGTCAACGCTCTATGCAGAGTAGAACTATTGCCCCCTACAGAATAATGGTGGAAAAATCTGTTTGAGAACAACAGGCTTGGACTGTCAAGACTAGCGGTGACGGGTAAATATTAAATTCACGGCTCTCCATCCCAGTTCTCAAAAGATTTACAGCTTTAAAAGCTATTAGCTTAAGTAGACTAGTGAATTCCACCTGTCATGAGTGTACATGAAATAGGAGGCAGCCTCCAACTGCTAAGACTCAAGTTATAAGGAACTACATAGATCAATGTCAACAAGTTTAATTGTATACCTAAATGCAAACAGGAAGTCGAAGCAGCTGTTGGGAGAAAACTGGTGTGACGCGTTTTCAGCAGCAAGCATCCCCAGTGTTAAGGATCAAGGTGCTCCACACAAAGGTAAACTGGCAGAGATCTTGCTCTGGGAATCTTTCATTGCAACAGGTCTACAGTACACATATTGCGACAGCATTCCTTCATTGTATGAGGGACTCAGTCATCCACCCAAGAAACTCTTGAGATCAGGTATTATATAGTAAGCTGTGTGCATTTGGCTCTTTGCATTCCAGAACTGCCTCCAACAGCAGTCATTTCATCTGGCTGCATTAGAGAGGTGAGACTGCAAGGCCCCCTTCTTCGGCCTGACTGGGATCAATTGCCATTTAACTCTTCCCCTCACTGGCAATCATTCCAACTGGCTGCCTCAAAGAGGTGAGACAGTGAGGCTCGCTCCATCAACTTGGCTGGGGCCAACTGTCATTTAACCACTCATCTCCCAGGACTCATTTGGTAGATGCGATAACTTCAATTTGTTTCTCTTCCTCCTTCCTCCCAGGCAACTTCCCCCTTTTGCACTGTTTATTAAATTGTAACCTAAAATCCAAAACTATGAACTGCACTGAGCTCATTGCAGGAAATCTAGCAATCTGTGAGGCATATAAACTGGAACAATGGGAGAGAGAGAGAAAGCACAGATGTATTAACTTCCATACTTCTACAATTAGCTCTGTGGCAAAGGCTTCTTGAAAATATTACAAAGAAAGAAAGAAAGAAAGAAAGAAAGAAAGAAAGAAAGAAAGAAAGAAAGAAAGAAAGAAAGATGCATATAGAGGATGCCTCTTCTGACCACTGACACAATTGCCATAATGGTCCCACAGAAAGATACAAGGATCATTATGACATTCTATTCAATAGGGCTAATCGCCTCTGCTTAATCAACCTATTAGCAAGTAGCAACAATTCTGAAAAGTTTCCTTGGATTTTCAAAATGAATGGGTTACCGCCACGTTCTGCCAAGCAGAGAAACACAAGGTAGCTATTGATCAAACTGTTCAGAGTAAATTGGGAAACAAAGGCACTTTTGTAAAGGTAATGCTATCATATAACACTACACCAAGCACATATTCTGCCAGGTTCGCTCCCCTGCTAAGGAGATCCTGAGCTTCTGGCGCTCCCAATAAGGGCCAGACAAACTGGAGAGATATCAGTATTTCTCAGGAAGCTCTCAGCACCTTGAAAAACAGAGTCCCGATTTAGCTGAAGTCACCTTTTTAAAGGTCTGAGTGTAGAAATACTTCAGCAGAGCAGAGTCTCCAGTTACAGACTTCATAAAGGATCACAATTTGCATAGGCATTGAAGTTCCAGCTTCTGCAATCATTAGGACAATATATGAACCCATTCACTTCTGAAGTAGTCTTTTTTTAGAAGTGTAATTTCATATGCTCTCTGCTTTCTCTTCCATGTTAACTGAGAGACTGAGTCTCTGCCCACACTCCTTTTCACCTTTCATATCAGTTTCCCCCTCATTATCTCAGTACTGATCTTGGGGTGAGGTCCATGCTGCATCAGCTTCTTGCAATATTCAAATAGAAATCACTCACAAGGGCTTCTCTCTAGGACTCCTGCCACTGAAGAACCTCACACAAGTGGGAACTATAAAAAGTGTGAGAGGCAAGAGGGGAGAGGATGCCTGTAGTGAAGGAGAAACTTGAGAAACATAGAGAGCTACCTGCCTCCGTGGAAGTTGTCCATCTCTAGCAGAGATGGAGAAATCTGTGGTCCTCCAGATGTTGTTGAGCTCCAGCTTCCATCAGCCCCATCCAGCATGGGCAATGGTTAGGGATGATGGGAACTGGAGTCCAACAACATCTGGTCACAGATACCCCATTCCTGACATATAGAATATTGTCTCTTTTGGCGTGGCTCTACAGCAGAGGTTGTTAACCTGGTCCCTACCACCCACTAGTGGGCATTTCAAGATTCTAGGTGGGCGGTAGGGGGTTCTACGGCACAAGCTGAATCCTCCTTCTATCGAGCACTGGTGGGTGGTAAGGAAATTTTACCATCAAGAAAGATGCATTAGTGGGCGGTAGGTATAAAAAGGTTGACTACCCTTGCTCTACAGTGTCTCAAGGAGAGGCCTTTGCCATCACCTGATGGTACCTGGTATGAAGCTGAAATCTTCAGCATGCAAAGCATGTGTTCGGCCACTGAGCTATGGTCCTTCCCAGTTGCAAGAAATCATTGTGCAATGCCAGTACCAACAGAGACACCTAAAATGTTTGCTTCAGCTGTTAAATGGATGCTCCCTCTTCAGTAGCTTCTACATTCTTTGGCTAATCCAGGGGTCAGCAACCCGCGGCTCCGGAGCCGCATGTGGCTCTTTTACACCTTTGCCGCGGCTCCGGGGCAGATACTAGCGAGGGGAGGAGGCGCATTGTGTGCCCCGACACTCCCCACTGTTTTAAATGTCACAATGGTTTTGCGGCTCCCGGTTTTTTTCCCTTCGGTCCAAGTGGCTCTTTTTGTCTTAAAGGTTGCAGACCCCTGGGCTAATCCATTCCAAGTGCTTATGAATCATTCTGCATATCCATAACCAACCCTTCCACAGTGCTCTGTGATGAAAATCTAAATGTTGTGAGAACTTACGTTCCTTCATGCAGCTCAGTCTAATAAATGGAAGTAATAAATACGTCATTCCTTGTAGAAAGGGTGGTTGATGTTTCAGAAATGGTTACAAATTCAACAAAATTGCTATGGAGTGGGTAAGCTGGCAGGGGGCACTCTCGAGAAATGGTTTGGTTCACAGTAGCTTTGGCCAAGCATTGTCTGAAGTCATGGAAAGAGTGCTTCTAAAATTACATGTAGAAGCAAGCAGAGCCATTGGCTCAATTCGGACATCGCACCAAACCATGGTTTATGCTAACCAAAGTTAACAACCCACCATCATGGTTTATGATCCCATACATTCAACAGACAAATCGTGGTTTAAAGCTTCTTGTCTGCTTTTGTTTTCCATTTCCGCATCCATATGTTCACTCCAGTCTGCAGTCTCTTGAGCCAGAGGAATGGCCATTGTTTATTTGTTTGTGAATCTAGGCACAACGCAAGCCACAGCTAGCACAAACTAGCTTCAAAATGGGGTATGCTATCCTGGCTTGGCAGCCCGTCGCAAACCATGGTTTAGTGAGCTTACATGGGTAAAAGCAAATCATAGGTTTGGTGTAACATCTGAACATAGCAATTAATAGTTAAGGTGCCCCTCAGGCAGAGGTTTCCAGTCCTTGCACTGCACCAACCTTGCTACCACCTTGCCCCCCCCTTCTGCCTCCTGGTAAGCAGCAGCAACGCAGGCAATGGGAGGTCAGGAGCCCCACCAGCTGCTACTGTTCAGGCTAGAGACCTTCTGCTTTAATGCCTTCTACTCCTAGTAAAGGCAGGGCTGTGCTGAGAAGCATGCTAAATGCACCCCTTTCACCCCTTGTGGAGGGTGACTGTGTGAAGTAGGGAGTCCACTGTAATCATGTAGGCTCCCTGCACATTTTAGAATCCTGACTGTCCAGAGTTTGTAGGAATCCATAGCAGTGCAGCTTTGTTTTTGTTTTTCTAATCAGTGTTGTGTAAGTCACATAAAAAGCCTCAAAAGAAAAACCAGAACCAATATTCCACATTACTTTCCCCGCCAACAGGGATGCTACATTGGAAGGTGAAGCATCTGACAGGACCATAACAGTTTAGCACGCCTGGGCAAGAATCTGTGCAATGTTGTGAAAACATGTAAAAATCTCCTTCCAAAGTCAGAGCAGCATATTATTTACAAAGAAAGGAAAGTAGGGAAAACGGTACAGAGCTGAACCATGAATTCATATATGAAAAATTGCCCCAATAAAAGAGAGAGATGTCAAATCACAGCTTTAATAATAATAATAATAATAATAATAATAATAATAATAATAATAATAATACAGCCTTGGAAATAGGTATCTGTGGGAACCCGGAGAGCAGAGATTTGAAAGCTTTTGCTTTCTTGGCTCCTGATCAGCAGGTTAATTATAGCAACTTTTCAATCCATCTAAAGTGCTCCTGATAAGGGAAGCTGCAGCAAACATAGCTGAGCTCACTTGCCTCTCATTCTCCCCCCACCCCTCCGATATCCAGAAAGATTGAGAGGGTCAAATAAGTGCTTACATGGGAAAGTGGGGAAGGAGGCGCATACGGTTTTAGGGTGCCTCTTTTGTGCACCGACCGCTTAGCCTTAGGGGTTTTAAAACCGTACTTAAGAGCGAGTCCCGGTTTTCATATTTGCTTTACCCACCTTCACAGCTATAACTGTAGACAGCCACTGTTGACCCTTCAACTAGATTTTCATCGTGGTGCCAACTCACAGCCATTTTCCCCATTCCAAAATAAGGCTCTTGTTTCAAGAACGGCATTTGTTGTGGATCCATATAATTTAATAAAGACAGGTTGTAAGATGTTCTCTCTTTCAGATGGCTATGGTCATTCTCTGGGACATGAGAAGGGCTTTGATCTTGCAGAATGGACCCCATCTCTGTAATGGAAGTAGCATAATCCTGATGCCTATCGATGACAGGAGAATCTTCCATTCCTTTTGTTTCGGCCAAATTCTGCTCTTGCAAAGCCAGGACGGATTCTCTATGCAAGTAGCAATTAAGTTTGATTAATGCCTTGCAAGCCTTGGATATTTCAGGATGGGAATAATTTATTTCATAACCTTCCACAGGCCAGGGGACCGTAAATAACCTTGTGTTCAAATATTTGTAGGTACATCCTGGGTTTCCAACTAATATACGAGATACCGGGGTAACAAAATCTTTCCCTTTGATCCTTACAAGATCTTGGAAAAAACAACCATGCTTTTGCAAAGTCAAAAAAGCTTCCTGAACTTCTTCATGGACCTCTTTGGGAATCTTCTCAGCAGTTCTGAGGACGAGTTTTGAATATTTTGTCTTCCACTAAAAAGTAAAGAAAAATCATGGATATATTATAAATATAAAACAGTTGCATACTTGAGGTGTTAGTTATGGCTTATCAACCGAATAAATAAAGAGAGAGACTTCTTTGGAGGAAGAGGATCAAGACCTCAAGAGAAAACCCACACCGACTGAAGATTTGGAGGAGCCATCAATAGTCCAAAGGCAGCCTGAAGAGTCCCATCTCACCAATGCTTTTGACTCCATTCTAAGCCCTGCCTTGATCCCTGATTCTCCTTCATTGCCACACACACCACTGACCTCAAAAGTGTAGGCAGCAGTAGATCTGATGGACTGCTTAAGTCACCAAAATGTCCACCTGGATAATCGACACTCAAGGGTCTACTCAGGAAAAGGGTGACGACCCAACTGCAATCAGTCACCCAGTAGAAGCGGAGCTGGCAATAGGTGGGAAACCATTTCAGACCAAGGGCCAAGTGCCCTTCTGGGGGACACATATGAGTGGTGAGCAGGGCCAGAAGCAAAAGTGAGCAGGCCAATGGGTGTACCATGGCCCAGTTTTGTACACACCCATCTCTATCCTCTATCCAAGCTCAGAAAAGATATTATCAGATCAAGTACACACTCCAGCCAGGCAAAAACTCAAGAAGGGTGTGAAGTAAAAGCAGTGAGGAGTACGGATGAAGAGGATGTGTAGCCTTGAAAGAGTCCCAAGGGCCAAACAGAGAATCCTAAGGGTCACATTTGGCCCCTGGGCCAGGGGATCCCCACTCTATTGTTTTCCTACTTGCCTCTGGACTCTGCTAGTTTTTGAGCTCATTAAATCTCCAGCTCATTCACATCTTCCTGGCAAGGCTCCCAATCTGACTCCAGCTCCACAGCGGGTGCGAGTCATGGATTGGTATACCACCTTAATCCAACAGTCCTCTTATTATGTTGTTACAGACTCACATTAAACGCATCTTCATTTTTCAAAAAAAATTTAAAATCAAAACAGTTTATAACAAACATACATATATACAATAAAAATCATGTCAAAAATTAAAATCAGAGACCATCAACTAGCTATCACAGACTGACATTTTCTTAACTATGTGCATAAGCTTGGCAGCCTAGAAAAGTTTTCAGCGGAAATTTAAAGATTAAAACCAAAGGTGCCTACTGCATCTCTACCAGCAGAGCATAGGACAGGGCTGGTTTCTTACTACAGTCACAAATGAGCCTCGTCAACTCTGAGGACAACCAACGAGGCTTCTGTAGATGACTGCAGTGACTGAGCTGGGATACAAGCATTTAGGCAATGCCTACAGTACCTTTAGTTGTTCAGGTCTTTGTAAATTAATACAAGTACTTTGAACCTGGCTTGGTAGTAGATGGATATTTAACAATGGTGTCACATGTTGTCAGTCATGTGCGCCATCTACAACTTGGCTGCCACATTCTGACCAGCTGGAGCCCTACATAGAGTGCATTGCAGCTATTCAGCCTTGAGGTTACCCACCCATGGACTACAGTGGTCTCTGCCCAAGAACGGCCATAGCTGAAGAACCAGGTGGTGAAAGGCACTCCTAGTGACAGAGGACACTTGTATCCAGGAGTACCCCACAATCTACACATCTGCTCCTTTTGAGGGAGTGTAACCCCCTCCACAACAGATAATGTGCCTGTCTCCCAGACTACTGGAACATGGGATTAAGATCTAGAGATGTGTTGGAGACACTCCAAATTTTCAGCAATGGCCAGCAATCTCGGCATTTGTTGGCCTTGTCCCACCAAGGTCCATAGGGTCTTGATTGAGAAGACAGCGGTTGTGTGAATCTGTCTCAAGAAACAGGAGGAATGACAAGAAGATAGTGTAAAAACAAAGGAAAAGTCTGCAATGACACATCTATGGGGAAAGCATGCCATGCTTGTTCAAAGGCTGTAATATTTCACTCTCCTGTTAAAAACTGGAAGTTAATGTGTTCCACATTTTAATGCCAGCCTAATGAGAGGCACATTACCTTTTGGCTTGTGAACTAAAGATTACATGCTTTGAAAGTATTTTATCAATATATCTTAAATGGTGTCGGCGGGGTTTCTGCTCTTTAAAAGCACCCTAAAAATGTTGTGCTTATTTTTATTTTAAAAAATCACACATTGGTATCTCAGAAGAAGAAGAAGAAGAAGAAGAAGAAAATTCAGGAAATGGAAACACATTTCCAACACATCATCTCAGAATACCGGTCGGTCTTCTTTAATTCTCCAGCCAGTCATCCTGCTATGTCCTACATCAGGAAAGCATTAAGAGATCAGAAGACCAAGAAAGGGGAAAGAAAAAGGGAAAAAAGAAAAACCCCATGGAACTCATACTGGACACTTTTACTGATTGAAGGAACAAAAAAACAAAACAAAAATCCCGTGTAGTTTGTGCTTTATCTCTGACAGCTAATATTAAAGGTCACCTCACTTGTCATGCAGATAAAAGCAGTTGCATGACTGGACACTTCCAAAAAGCATACAAAACATTTCATGCTTAATTTTTTAACATGTCCATTATCCTAGAACAAAATTTAACACACCCATAGAAACCTGAGGCCCCACTATGTATTTTCAGCAATCTACAAATCATAAAGCCTGTGCTTGAAGGAGCCAGGATGACCTCGTCACTCAAGTGACAACAGCAAACCGCAAACCAGTGAGGTAATCTCTGGATAAACAAGTTGGCACTTCAATTCTACATTATAAGATAGTAACATTTCACTCAAAGACCTCATTTGTATAGTGTTGATGTTCCTAAATGCACGTTCCTCTTCAGAGACTCATGACATAGTTCCAAGTATCACTGAATCATCGTGCTAGGCTTTGAAGAGGTTTCTTCTGAAACAACTTCTTTTCTATACAAAATTCATTGCTGTGCCCTACTGCTGCATTAATTTTCTCTACTGAAAACGGGCCACATTTGCACACCATAATGGGTTATGTGCAATGTGAACGAGCCAGAACAAGCTGCAGTGAGCCCTGGACCTACTGGTTTGAAATGTGATTTCAAACTGGCTTCTTTGAAGCATACCATAGTTAATGTTCACTGTAGTTTGTCAGTCTGGACAACACAATAAACTACAGTTTAGGTAAAAAAAGAAGTAAAAGCTTTTGAACTCCTCCTTCGGGCCACACAACAGAAGGCAAGGGAGGTGTGAAAGCCTGAGACTCACTGTGAATTATGGTTTGTTCATGCCACATTAAACTATGGTTTTGCACCACACACAAATACAGCCAGCCTTCAAGGAAACCGGCCCACCCCTGTCTTCTTTTACTGCTCCGACAGGACCCCCCCCCAATCCAATTCTATTCCCATATTATTCATATTATTCCTAATTGTGGTAGTAGTAGTAGTAGTTGTTGTGGTCATGCCCTCTGTCTAAGGAACACAAGACAACTTACAAATAAGAGCACAGCTTTCTATCACACCCGGCTATTTGTCTTCTCTTGACTAGTCTAGGCTATCAGACTTTTTCACATCACCTTCTATCCCAGTCTTCTCGAAGCATGAGTCCCCATATATTGAACTACAACTCTCATCACCTCTCACCATTGGCCATGCCATCTAAGGATGATGGGGATTGTAGTTCAAGAGTATCCGAGATCCAAAGATGGGAATACTGGGGAACCTGTTCCTTTTTTAAATGGAGATGCCAGGAATTGAAACTGGGACCTTTTGAATGCAAAGCATGTTGAACTATGGCCCTTCAACTAAGTTGTTTGTGGTTCAGTTCTACAGCACTAAGTTTGAGATAAGGGTATGTTTTAGTAGATAAAACTTGGCATGGAACAGAAGAGTCACACACCAAGTTTCAGAGGTCATAGTGTTCCCACAACACACATGCACACACACCCTTTGCTCTGCAGCTCACAGGTGTATATGGACTGGGTATCCATGCAAGTCCAACTTCATTCAGATGGTCCACAGCTGCGTATTTATGAATTGTTGTTCAGAGGCAGCACATCCACCAAATTAAAGATTCCTAATGATTTTTAATTGCATTTTCACTGCCTCTTTGATTTCTTGCATTTTATTGTGTTATAATTTGAATTCTATGGAATACAATGTATAAGAAAAAAGAATTAAAAATTTTCAGTTAAACCTCATACCGCATCTAGCATAGCGCATTACAATGGCTACAGGCAGAAAAATCACTAAGTCATGTGCCAAGACCCTCAGCTATTTTCAAACGGTTCATGAGAAAAAGCAGTTTGGGAACCACATCTCTACAGTATTATACTTCTGTTGTGGTTTTATTGTTAATTTTTAAAAATTTCTATGTCTTGTTGTGAAGGTCACCGAGAACTGTGCTATAGGGAAACCTATAAAATATGATTAATAAACCAGAACAAATAACAGGAACATAGGAAGCTGCCTTTTACTGAGTCAGACCATTGGTCCATCAAGACTGTGTTCATGGAAGACAATCTTACTTGGCTATGAGTGATCGCCCAAAAAGGAGAAGAAGACCATCAAGCTGAATACTGCACCAGTTGTTCCCAAGCTGCTATCCTCCAGATGTTTTGGATTATAACTCCCATCAGGCCTAGCCAGCATGGACAATGATTAGGGATGATGTGAGCTGGAGTCCAAAACACCTGAAGGACACCAACCGATCTACACTAACTCAGCCAAGGGAGTTGGGTTCAGATCCCTGAATCCAAAGTGGCAGAGACAGGTACAAGGAAGCACCCAACGCAGCAACATGACTGATCCTGGAGAAGCTAACAGGAGCCCCAGGGAGAATTCTCTTTTCTCACTGGAAGCAGCTCTCAAGGTTTCAGCCAGAGGTCTTTCCCAACCTTGCCTAGAGATTACAGGGGTAGAACCAAGGACCTCCTGCATGCAAAGCAAGTGCTCCAGCACTTTCCCTTGAAAGGCCCAATGGATGTCATCTGAAAATTCAGTGCTCTAACTCAGGGAGATGTAAGAACCTTAACCTTATTTTAACAATGAAATAGAAAGAAGGTACAGAAACTTCATTTCCTTCCTGTATCAGTGGGGGAGAAAATGAGATTATTATTTTTTTAAAAAAAGATGCTACTTTGTATGCATCTTTCGGCCACATGTCAATACAAGAACGTTGACATGGCTATAATGTTGGAACGCCTGCTGAAGCTGTTCAAGCTAAATAAGAGATTCCTTTTTATGTCTTTCATCTCACTCAATATGTTCCAACTTAGTTTGACTGAACTCACCCAAGTCTTTCCATGTGTTTCTCATTTGACTGGGGTATTGTCGAAGAGGGACTTTAGCATATTCTTCCGTTTCTTTAATAACAATCCTTCTCTATACCACTTTGGATTATACTTGTGCGTATCATTTTCAGACTGGATTTTCTTTTTTCTGCATAAGAGTCACAGAACTGCACGGCCGGGAGGGCCAGAGGGTTATCAAACTCAAACCACACTCTTCTGAAATATGTTCCACCTCCAACACACACACACAGATCAACCCATATAATCCATATAATAGGGCATCTCCCAAACAGATAACAGAAGCAAACATGACATACTTACCACAATACTTGAAGAGGCCAGCAAGTAAGGCCCACAAAGAGTAGTTGACATGGTGAAAGCACACACACACACACACACACACACAAAGAGAGAGAGAGACCACAGAAACAGAAAACTAGGTGTCAGGAAGCCTGACCTTTGCAAGTGTCATGGATTAAGTCTTTAGGGCCTTGTCATCGTTCTCCAGGAACTGAATCTGTGTACTCTAGAACACAGCCTACGCTCACATGAAGCTGTGCAATTTCAGAGAAAGAATGGTGGTAGCATGCACCTCCTCCTCCTCCTCATCCTCCTCATCCTCCTCATCCTCACTGGGTACAGCTCAGAACCAGCACATTCATGCCAGCTTTTCCTCAGTAATTTTGTCTTCTCTACACAATGAACTAAGGAATTCGAGAATAAAAATAACAAACTATTTCAAGTAGTAAAAGAATATTTCCCGGTATATAGAACACAAATCTTTTGAACTATTACCAGTTGATGGAAGCCATCATCCTTTGGTGTCAAATATGGAAGCCAGCTCTCTCCAAGTTCGTCAAGGAGTTTCCGTTTCTAGAGGTGCAAAAAAAGATAATTTACATTGAGTTTTGGGTTTGTTGGTTGGTTTGTTTAAGTCAAAGGCTTGCTAGGTATTAGAACTAATGTACTGCTGCCCAACACTGGATTCAAGTTTTGGAGGGGTGTTCGGCAAGAAACCCTCCATGCCACACCTTCTTTAGTGAGTTTACCTCCTCACCACCATTGTCACCAGCTGCTCCTTTCCCCCCATAAATGCTACCATCTGCTTGCTGGCCACGTAGAAAGCCACTGAGAAAACAGCAGCATCTACTGCTCCTCTTCCTCACCACTACTGTCATCTATATGCCAAAATAAGAGTTAGACAAAGAACTTGTAGAGGAAGAACAGGCTCAGAGGGCTCTTATCACTGTATCTCCTGCTGGGATGTAGGACCTTGAAAGATGATTGACCATGCCCACCTGCCCTGCTCCCATCCATCTTGGTACATCAGAAGTAACTCCGGGTATTGTTCAACCACCTCTTACTGGGGAAAGAGAAGTGAGTCAGAATCAGATTTTGTAAACTCCACTTCTACTTCCAATTGCCACTTAAAACAAACAGCCTACTTGGTGACTCCTCAGGGACAAAAAAAGAGGGAAGGGGTAAAACATTAAGACTACAATCCTAAACATACTGGCTTGGGAGTAAGCCTCATCAAAATGTGGGCCTTGCTTCTGAGGACTGGACAGTGAAATATCTTATAAAGAAGCCTTGCAATGCAACCTCTGTGAAAGTTTACTCAGAAGCAATCCCCCTTGTATTCTATAGAGTTTGCTTCTAGCTGAGCGTGTATAGTACAGTAATACTGGAGCCTCAGTGTGTGTTGTGTTTAAAGATCCTTGGTTGCAACTTGGGTGAGTGGGGCTAATCTCTTGTTATGCAAAAGAGTAAATGAAAGCAAAAACAAAAGCTCCTGTTTATGACAAAGGATCCAACCCAATTCTTCCCAGCTTACATCTATGGTTTTGTTTTACATTCCTTTGCTTATCGTTATTTTCCGCATCACGTTACAAGACTAATGGATTTTTAAGTTTTACAGTACTTATGGAAATGGCATTTCTCAGGTTGAGTCATTAGCTCAGAAAACCCTGGTGTTGCCCTATCCGCATTTCCTACATAGCCTCCACCAGCTCCGTCTACCAGAGTGGGAGGGGATGTCACCCAAAAACCATGATCATTTATCCGCTCTAATCAAATTGGTCTTTGCCTCATGTGGATCAAGAATTATATGCTCAAAGGAAATTTAGCTTTTGCATTGCATGTCCCAATCAGACTTTGTTTTAACTTGGTAAATCACTAAAACCTGCCTGGAACAATGTAAATTGTTCTATGCACGAATGGGAAAAATTGAGTAAGAAAATAACAAGATGAGGACTAGGAACACAGAGTGCATTGAGCACGCATCCTGATTTGCTTGCACAGAGTTTAAGCAGAGGTTAGCCTATGTCTGGTCTTTATTGAGTACTCTGATTTCTTTGCAGGTATGTAATACAAGACTAATTTAAATGAAGCCATCAAAATAGAAACAGAGTTAAATGCCTCCTTCAGTCTTAAAACAAAATAATATGAAGCATTCTAAGATATCTCTGTAGTACAAATGTGTATTGTTTTCATATCAATTTATCTATCACAGCTTTTCTAAAAACAACAACAGGGAATTACAGTTTTGCAAGGGTGCTGAGTATTTTCTTAGAGCTCCACAGTCCTTTTCATAGAATGACAGAGTTTCCAGAGATCCCTGAGCAAAGGGTGTAATGATTGGCAACACTAGCCTATGCATATTTACTGGGAAGAAAGCACCACTGTGTTCAGTGGGGCTAACTCACAGGTAAACATGCAGAGGATTGCATTCTAAATCTGTAGTGTAGATAGTCCCAGAATGAATTGTTGTGCAGTGCGCTCAGAACACAATTTGCCGTAAAATGATGATGACGATGATGATATTTAAAATGGGGGGGACACCCTATGCCCTTTTAAAATGTGGCTCTTTTGGGGGGTTGTTATTGGATTGTTGTTTTTATTTTGATTATATATATTGTGGTTTTAATGTTGATCTCTTCTGTGAACCACCCTGAGACCTCCGGGTATAGGGCGGTATATAAATTCAATAAACAACAAACAACAACAACCAGAGCCTTACAATCAAAACAAAACACAGCCCCAGCCCTTTCCTTAAAAACAGCCAGTTCCCAAAAGCCTGTTAGAACTAAAAAGTAATCATCTGCCAGTGGAAGGACAACGAGGAGGGAGCCAGGTTGAATTCTCTAGGAAGGGAGTTCCAAAGTCTAGGAGCAGCCACCTAGATGCAATTAGCTGCAATCACATTGGTTTTCTCTGCTTTACTGCTACTGTGGATACTGGAGGTTGGGCCCTTGTGACCATTCAGAGTTCCAGGAAGAGAAAGTCCCCCACAGCCTCCCACCACCACATTTTTTTTCAAAACTAATGCATGCCAGCACAGTCAACAGAACAGTCAGTCTTTTTGAACCACAACCAGGTAGCGTTGACTAATCCATCCAACACTCGCTTAACTGCAGCTCACTGATTCTAAGTGGACTGACAACCACAGCATTAAAATTTATAAAACAGACATGTAGCCTGATCTGGCTGAGTTTACAGACTTCTTTGGGGACACATTATGAAAGTGACATGGAGTTGCTGGTGAAACCAAGCGGAATGTAACTTTAGATTAAGCTGGCAGGCAACACATTAGTGCATTCTGAGATTTCATATACTGCCCCTCAATGAGGCCAAACTTCGAGTCACAAAATGTTTAGGGGTATGCGTACCTCTGCGTACCCCCCGGAAAAAGCACTCTGTGTGTGTTAGTTTTGAAAAGTACTGCAGTTTAGAAATCTATATTTATACTTGCACACTTGGATGTTTGCATGTAGACACAGTGAATGTAGCTATATTAACATTATTTATGGCATTAAACACACTGAAATGATAAGTCTGGTTTTGCTAAGCCTCAAGCAGAGCTCACCAAAACTTCTGTTTTTAACAAAGGCTTATTCTCATGTTTGAACAATAAAAGGATGTTGAGCTGGTAGAGAAAATAATTCAAACGCATGGGGTAGCAATATATATATATACTGACAATTTCTTTGTCAAATGTTAAGCTCTTGGCAAAAGCACACAGCATTAAAATGCACTCTGGAGTGGAGGTAGTATCAGCTCACATTTGATTGTCAGATCTGACTAAGCGAATGCTCTCCTGCTTGATGTGCAGACAAATACACACACAGCTGGGTGGTATAACACACATCTCTTCTCATATACACGGAGCTGTCACACACGTGTCAAATACATCAAGTTACTTGCAAATTCCTCCAAAACAAAATGAAAAGCGGGGGTTGGGAATAAAGAGGAAAGAAGAGGGATTGGGGGGGGGGAGTAGCTTTGCCAACTGGCTGAGCCGGTGCTTGAAAGTGTGTTGTGTTTACAGCAACCTCAACAGGTAAGTAAAAAGCTTGTAGAAGTGGCAACTTCCTCCACCTCCACGGAGACATGAACAGACCAGTTCTGTGCAGGCATAGAGGGAACATGAGTAATGGGTTAGATATGTGTTTTAAACACATCTGGGAGCACACAAGGAGTTACTACTGAAGAAGGCAGGGTGTGGCAACCAGAAGACAAGCTGGCGTATGTGTATGTTCGGTCCTGTGTGTGCACTTGACTAGATGGTCTCTTCATCCCATCTAACTCTATGAGATGTTCTGTTCTCTATGAGACTTGTTCACGCAATGCATAGTTAACTTATGCAATTTGTTCCCACAAGATGTGGTAGTGGCCCCAGGATTAGATGATTTAAAAAGGAGGTATGGGGAAATTTATGGAGGTTAAATGCATGGACAGGGGGATGTTGCTAGACTGCAACTGCCATCATCATTGGTCATGCTAGTTGGGAATCCAGCACCACCTGGAGGGCCATCGCTTCTCCACCTGTGACCTACACTGGCTAGCAACATCAATCTTGGCTGTTGGGCTGGGTGTGGGGGAATCTTTCCCCAACCCTAGTTGAAGATGTCAGGTATTCATCCTTGGACTTCTGCAGATCCCCTCCACTGGGTAGTTCAGCCAACGCACGCTTCTTCTTACATTCTCAATCAGGAAAAACAGGCACCGCAAGGAGAGGCAAATTCCTTTGCCCAGGTGCTTGAAATAAGAGACTCAAATCACCATGCAGATCTTGGGTGAGGGATGGTGAGAGTTATAGCCCAGCAACTTCTGGAAAGCCACAGGTTCCCCACACCTGATCTAGATGGAAGCACAGCAAACAAAAACATGTATTAATCCCAACTTGCTGAAATACAGCCAACAGACATTAAGACAGGGTGAATGGGCAACGTCAAGCTTTGCTCAGGAAAAACTGCCATGGGGTGAGTCTAGTGATGTGCTTGCATTTCGCTCGTAGACTAGAAACACTGCTGGCAACAGAATGTGTTGTTCCTTCCTCTCCACACCCCCTCTGAAATGTCAAGACTACACAACACAGATGTGAAATGCACCAGAATCTGTCTGCCAACATTTGAAATGGATGAACACTTGCTTCACCTGTGCAAACACAGCTATAATAGAAAGCCAATAAGGCTGCTGCAAGACTTGGAGCAATGTCTTGGCCCATCTCAGTATTAGCACACACATTTTTAAGGATAAATAATACAAGTAAATGGTTTAGGTTTTGCAAAATCATTCTCCAGGAAGAAACTAGTGGCAGTTTGTTGTCAGGTATATACAAAGCAAGATTGCTGGGAAGAAGCTGCTTTATGCTGTTGCATCTAACTCAGGTGTAGAGAACATTTGGCCTGTAGGCGAACTGGTCACACTTGCAGACCTGAAAACTGGGATAACTTCAGAGGAGCAGAAGCTAGCAATGGCGCTAACAACCTAAAGTTGAAGTAAAGAAGCTATGGCCCTCCATATGTTGGTATTCTACTACTCCCATCAGCCCCAACTGGCACAATTGTCTCAGGGCATCACATTAGTGAAGG